GCAATGCCCTATTTAACAAAACTTTTAAAAAAGATAATGGTGGAAAGTGCAGAGTTTGACACTTGAAAGTCTTTAAAAAGTGGTCTGCCTAATCACAGGCACCAGACCTTTCTGAACAAGAACACACAGGTACAGAACTCGCCTTAGCTAAAGTACACAGTTTGCATTCAGTTCACCAAGGACCCTCTTACTGGTTTAATAAGGGTGATGAGCTTGACAAGTTAAGGGTTAAATCCTCAAAACCAGCTTTATTCAGCCATGATTTTTTTGGAATTTACATTATGCTGCAATGATGCACATGAAAAGTGACCTTAGTCCTAGTTAAATCCTACTTCTTCCTGGAGAGGTGAGAAAATGTATGAGAATCCCCTTGACTGGATGCTTCTCTGACAGACTGTTTCCTCCCATGCTATAATTAGTAGGAGTTAAATCAACACAAGAATTTGCTCTTATAGGATTTTTTAGAAGCATGGGTCTTCAAAGCCCACACCAACCAGAAATATCCTACACAGTCATTAATTGTATGATTCATCAGATTTAAATGTTATACAAAAATATCGATATGGACACTCATTCCCAGACGTGGAACATCTGATCTCCTTCTCCAGAAAGTTTAAATACGCCAGTGGAATACCCTTACTTGCCATGATGTTGTTTTGTTCCCTCACAGATATGGGGCCACCTCCCTCCCCTTTTCCCAGCTCTTCCTGCTCGTTCTTCTCCAGCTCCCATGCTCAGTGCACTACCCTAAAACTTCACGCATCTGTCAGCTACATTGGTCTACAAATAAAACACATCACAGCCAGACACCTTTCCTTAGGTGAACGGAATAAAGGGGTAGAAAAGATGCACTGGCCACTGCTTAAAATCTACTTGCCTTTTACAAGGCAAGTAACGCAGATTGTGCTATGAAGGCTTGTCAGAACAGACATTAAGGTTCATCTCAAGGTGAATGATTTATAATATGACTGTAAAAGTCTGATAGTTTTCTAACCCACTGAATACATCTGGAGACTCAGGGTGTGGAACGTGGTGGCCGCTGCCTTCAGGGCTTGGAAGCTGCTTGGCAGAGCTCTGGTGACAGCCACCTGTCTGCCCTCCTCCTTCTCCACCTGGGAATGCTACCTGGGCTAAGAGTTGTTTGCCTTTCAGACAGAGCCCTTCTGAATTTCCATGCGGACTCACTCAAGAGCTCCCAGTAAGAACCACCTGAAGGAGAACAGATGCCATCACAAGCCCTACAGAGGGTCCTTGAAGAGCTGAGTCGGTGTTGCCCACCAGGCTCTTCTACCTTGCATCCCATAGATCAGTAAAGGCTGCTGGGTACCACCTAGTTTTCCACTTAATTATATCCACTTGGGACCTCTAAACACAAGAGTTTTCCTACTAACACAGCCAGGAACCCATTTTCAGATGACGAGAGCAACTCATTGCTTTATGTTGAGGTGAAGTCTTAGGTCAGCGTTTTGCTGTTACAAAACAGAGATGAGCTCAGCAAAGGTCTTTAAGAAAACAGACCTTCTTAGACTTAATTTCAACCACCAGTGAGCAGTTTGTGCCATCATTCTTTCTCACCAGTCAACGCCTGTGAGCTCAGCCATTTCGCCTCACCCAGTAAGTTACTTCAGATCAGTGCTGTCAAGAATATAAATAACATTTTTTATTTCAACCCATTGCCATTCCTCCTCCTCCAACAGATTCAGAGATCGAGCACCCTATTGGAATAGCAGACAGAAATTCATCCCCTTGTCTGAGTCCGAACACCTGTGCACCATCTCACTTCGTGATGACTGCTGCACTCACAGTGCAACCACTGCATCTTCTGCATTATTTGGTAATTTATAAACACAGCTGAAAAACTAATGCATGTATGCTCTATGGCTGCCTGTCTACCCCCAGCTTCTGTTTGGCATCTCCCATATATCTGAAGAAAAAAAGGAAATAACCAACAAACCAAAACAAATTATAGGAATAATGAAAGACTATACAATGAGATACCTGCCCAGAATGGAGTGATTAATTCAAATTAGCATGGGGACTTTAGTGGGCTGCAGGGACATGATGATTAATGTGAAAGATACTTCATGCTAGAATAACAAAGTAGACTTACTCAGTTCCATATATTACAGCAATTAGAGGGGAAAAAAAAAAAAAAAAAAAAAAAAAAAAAAGACTGTGCAATATTTCCATGGAGGTTAAGCTGAAGGTACATCTATATCAATCCTTAGTGTGCATGTCTTTAGCCCAAAACTTGACTCCCAGTGCTCCCTAGCTCTTCACAGTGGGGGCCCTGTCGTGCCAAGCCCCCGGTGCCCATCCCTGCAGACACCAGCCAGTCTCCCCCTTTTCCAGCAGGTTTCACTTGGCTCTGTCACACCTTCTTAAAGGACTGTAAAACAACTGCGGAGAAAGTGCAAACAAATGGGAGCTGCCGCATACGTGTTCTGGAAGAGCTTATTCTTGTGTGGGAAGTGCTACAGTGTGCTAAAGGACTTTTATATCCGTGTAAGTGTAAAGCCCTGGGATCACGCCAGCAGTGTCAAAGAAGGAGAATTTCACATCCCTGCTTAATCTGACTATGAAAACTTTGTACAGGCCAAAATTAGATTTTATTAACGTCGTTCACTGCTCAAAGAGCAGGCCTGTGCATAACACTGGAATGGGATAAAGAATGTGGCTCGAACTGACCAACAACTGAAATAGCAGTCTGAACACGTGTATTGTCAGTTAGTCACGCTCAGGAGACCCGCATGTGCCACGCAGGAGCACCGTGACCTGAGGTCTGAGGCTGAAAAATGAACGAACAACTCCATGAAAACTTCTCCCTGCCTTATAACTGGAAAGGCTCTGATTTGAAGTACCACGTGCAATTTGTTTTTCTACCATGCATTTTTAATGAATGGGGAAATGTCCTGCCTAGAACCTATAAATTTATATTAATAAGGATCAATCAGTAAACTAAAGCATTTAAATGCAGTGTTGTCCCCTGTGGCAAAAGACAATGCCTTTTATTTGCCTTAGCACAGCAGAGCCACTGAACTGATAAATAAATAATAACAGCTAGCACAGAGACTACCTCGATGTTCTGTGCCAAAAGAAACAACACACTACATTTGCCGGGAACAAAGACAAAAACAATACCTTGCATAATATGGTTTGCAAAGTAAGATTTAACTATGCTCTGAAGTAATTAGCAAGTGCATGAAACATGTAAACAGAGAAACAGGGACAACTCCCATTTCTGCATCTCAGAATGTCAGCCACGTATCGGGAGGGTGAACCTGTTTGGCAGTGACAAGGCAGCAGCAGAAAGTGTGGCACCGCTCGGCTGGCAGGATTTCATAAAACCACAGCTCTTTCAGAAGGGCAAAGTAGCTGTTCTTGTTCTTCTTTCTGCCCCTCCTAAAATATGCTGTCTGCGTCCAAATAGAGACATAGGGACACAAGACAGCTGGGCTGTCAGGGATCCTGCTAACCTAGATCTGTCAAGGTGAACATGTGAAAGACTTCAATTTTCCGTAGACTGGTTGGAGAAGGAAAATGATGTGCCGTTCGTACGAAGCTGCTGCCGTCGGGGAGACTCACTGGTGTTTGAATACGGAACATACGCAACTTTTTATGGATGGTGTGAGGATGCAGCCATTAGGTGCCCACATAGAAGGGGGCAGCTGCTAAGACAAGAAATGGAAAAAAAACCCATGGCTTTGGTGTGTTGTGTGGAGGAAAGAGCCAGAGTTTTTTCATACTTTGCAGGTTTTCTTTATCTCTGGCCCAGGCACCCACCTTGATAGCCTCAGACTCCCTGAGCTGAAAAGTTAGCAATCCCGGCAGCATTGACTCAGCTTTTAAACTTTCTGTGAAAGAAATTACTTTAAGGCTATGTACTGCAGGTGCTGGCATCCTTTGGGGTGAAATGTTAAAATGGGGAACTGTGCCTTTTCCATCTGAGGTTTTAAGAGCTGGTGGCATTTTGGTATCGAGCTAGAGTTAACCACAGTCTTCCTTGCTTCTCCCAGAGATATCGCTTCAAATTGTGACGATATTTTCTAAGGGATATCATTGAAGTTAAAGTTTTGCACATTTTTCTGAGATTCATGCCCAGACAGAAACACAGCGGTACATGCACCACGGTAGAAAAGGTAAGAATTTTACTAAAAATAAGAATTAGAGAACATCAAAAGAAGAAAAGGCTACACTGGTAAGTGTTATCCGACAGCATGCTCAGCAGATATCTTTTCCAGATAAACCTAGTCAATACTGGGATGAGTTAAGAGAATACTTAGAGAAAGCAATAGGTGTTTTCAGAATGGATGGGCCATTAACAGCAGATAATTGAATCCTTGTGGTTAAGAAGTGCCACTGAATTCAATGGGAGCTGCCCATGCATCTGAAGTCAACACATCCTTCTGACAGACGCCAGATAAGGTGATGAGGGAGCAGCACAATTCTGAGCAAGAAAAAAAACATTGGTTTACAATAAAAATTGCAAATAACAATTGAGGCTCAACTATTTTATTTTTTTTTCGTGGCCAAATCTTTTACAAATTAAGGAAAAGCTTGGGTGGAAAGTTGTGATTCACCCCCCTTTGGTGTTGCTTCATAACTGGACAAAGTCTCCCTTCCCTCAGATCTGATCTAAGGAAAAATGAAGCACTGGGCTGTTTCACCAGAGGTCTGAGGTGAAGGAGTTGTAGTTATGTGGGTCTGACATAAATTTTCCTTTGCCGTCTGCCACTTGTGTTGAGGAATATATATCCATATACACTTGTAAAGAGTCCGGGTTCAAAATTCAGTATCCTTTGAGTCACTCAACTTCACTCCCATTGAAGGAGCAAGAAAACTGCTCCACAACAAGGTATTCCTGCTTGGTCAGGGGTTTTGACAACCTCCAGACCAATAAATGGGGTGGGTCAAGGGGTTTATACAGTTTAATAATCTCTGATAGGGAAATCAGAGAATTCACATCATAACCTGACTAAAGCAGTGGCTGGAACACCCACCTCAGGCACATGGTGGCAGATCGATGGAGATTACCTTCCAACCCTATTCAAATCCAGGTACTTTTGCTGCCTCAAGAGCCTCTTATTAGGTGTGAGCAACCTCCAGTTAAAGTCTAAATGGTGTCTAAAGGCAGTAATTATCCATCTACCTGTAATGAACAAGTACAGTCATGCGTCACAGTCAACACAGAGCTTATACTGGCTTCTCATAGATTTATAGGAAAACATTCAATGTGGTGGGTGCGCATTCGTGCCTGTAAGATCATAGCAGTAGATAAAGTCAAAACCAAGGCTTCCAGGCTTCGTGAGTGTCGTGAGCCTTGATTTCCCTAATACAGGGGTCCCAGAGATGATCTGAACTCTTTGACCTTACCCCATCTGTCAGCTCTTTGCTACCTTGCTAAATGCACATTAACATATTCTTATGCTAGATTTTTTTTTTTTTTTCTGTTGGCTTCGGCTGCCATATATTTTATTATCTTCTTACTTAACTAAAATCAGCACTCCAAATATTTCTGTTGCCTCTGCTTTCACTTTGGAATTAATTATGCCCTGTTTTCATCTTTAATTTGGATTATGGATGTGCATTTGCAAAAATGCTTTGCTGGGAATGCACGCAGTTTATATTGCCAGCAACTGTTCTCAAAATATGCCTACTGAAGAAGCTCCTATGCCAGAAAAAAAAAAAATAAAAAAAATTGCAAAGTTTGAAAAGAGTTACACAGAATTTAGAAGACTTTCTCCTAATTAAAACTTTATTATTTGTATTAAGCATTTGAGATATGAGGTGAATTTATGCAGCCTCAGATTATTATTTTCCAGTAAATTCTGTCAATCTGTAAAGGTATTTCTTTGCTATTTCCCAATATTTCTCCAGTGTTTCTACATATCTTCGTAGGCCTCTGTTGATATTATAGTTGTAAAATACAAATTAGCTCACAATTCTCTCCAAGACAGGGTTAGGACTAAATCTATAATGGTCTTCCCAATACATTTGAAAAAGACAGAAGTGTGGATTTCAGAGACATAACGCATACTAATGTCTGTGCTATGTGATACTTCACAGACATTTTTCCCAAAATAAAAATGATTAATTTAGTCAAATCTCAGATTTTTAATCTGTCACTGATAGGCAGATGTTCCCCTGATATAAAATGACATTGTTCCACTGACATTGATGTAGAAAAATGAAAGGGCTTTCTATCTCTTATCTTTGGTTGTGCTTGAACCATTTTCTTTTAAATAACTGCTTTCAAGAGCTAAAATAATCACAGATTGAAGCTGATTTTCAGTACATTTTTTGGATGAATCAGAAACCTGACACCTTTTGCCAATTCCACTGGTTAGGCATATGGGCCAGAAGAAGGGGAGTATCCATCGTACAAACTATCCCTGTATCTAACAACTAAATATTTTGAGGCAATGCCAGGATGATGTATTGGTCTCCCAAAGGTGACTTACCATCACCCGTTTGTTTACAGATTATTCCTCTATAATCTCTAGATATTGTTTTATTACTGGTACTGTTCTCTAAAATGGAAGACATTCTATTTTATCACTTGAGAGATGTTGAATATAAAATTGCAACCTGCATGATTCTGCTTTGTGAGCCGTCTACCAGCACCAAAAACCTTCTTTAGCTTGATAAATATCTGTGGAATCGTCCATTTGTGTTGGGAATTAAATAGACAATGAGGAACGTGACCACTTCAAAATAATTTGTCTCTCCCCCCCCCCCCCCCTATTGGGAAGAATGCTCACAGAAATTCTGCACATTAAAAAAAAAACCAAAAAACCAACAAACCAAACCACCACCAAAACCACAGATTTTTATCCTGCAGCTGACAGGGAAGAAATTACTGAGAGCCATTATGTTTTGGAGACTTTGGAATACCTTGCGCAAGGGTAACGGTGCCCGTGATGTTACTGATCCTTTTGGGAGCGGTGACCTTTATGAAGAGCAGCAGCATACAGCACCCTCCTTCTCCTCCCAAAAGCACTAATCTGCAAAGACAGAGGAGAGATGCAGAGTCCATAAGCACCTGGGACTACTTGCTAAGAAGAATGGCCATGCATATGAACACTCAACACACAGAGCACTGGGCAGCACTTTGGCTCTGGCAATGTCACCAAGAGCTATGCCCTTCTAGTACAGAACATATATATATATATATATATATATATTTTTTTTTTTTTTTTTTTTTTTTTTTTTTTTT